CAGAAATGAGGCTACTCAGGAACATGTAAAAAGTATTCAAAGCCAACATGCTAAAAGACAGTCATCTAAGTACAATGTTTACATTCAGCAAAAACATTTTCCAAAACCAACATGCTAAAAGACAATCATCGAAGTACAATGTTTATATTCAGCAAAAACATTTTCCAAGAATGACAATGAACCATAAGTTTATCATCAAAACAAAACAAAACCCCTCTTTTAATAAAAGCATCTACAAAGGAAGTACTTTAGTCACAAGAAAGATAGCTCCAGATGGATAAACACAGTAATGAACAGAGAACATAGTAGAAATGTGGGAAATATTAAATACTGGCTATAAAACCCAACAATTCTAAATAGGCTTCAAGCTATCTGGTAATAATAATTTTAAAAGTACCATTACATGACAAAAATAGCATATAAATTGTGAAGAGGGTTAATGAAGTTAACAATTCTAAGATAAAGATGTTTGTAAATTTAATTGTGAAAAATCAAGAACATATAATTGTAGAAAAATATGTAACATCCAAGCAAGTAGATAAAAAAAAATTACAATGTTTTGCCCCTAAGATATTTTAAACCAACCAACCAACCACAAAATTCCAGCCAGCGCAGAGATGGTTCACTGATTAAGAACATATATTGTTCTTGAAGAGGCCTCAAATTCAGTTCTTAGCACCCACATTAGGTGGCTCAAAACCTCCTATAGCTCTGGATCCAGGATCCAACACCCTGTTCTGGCCTTCACAGGTACCTGCCCTCAAGTACACATACCCTTACACAGACACACATAAAACTTAAAATAAAAATGAAGTCTAAAAAAAAAAAAAGGGAGAGGGAGAAAGAAAATTCTAACAGATACTCTTTTACTTATTAGTGGTGCTGGGAACTGAATCCAGGGGTGGTGCACATACTAGGCATATGCTCTATCATTCAACATTTAGAGCCCTTCCATATACCCTTTTAAGTATTTACTTGAAATAGAAAAGTATAGGGCTAGGGATATTGCTCAGTTGTAGCTTGGTCTGTATTAAACTTTGGGTTCAATTCTTAGTACCACAAAATAAATGAATAAACAAACAAACAATATGTACAAGTGTACGTACCATCTAGTTATATAAAAATCGTTTAGTGAGAAATTTAAAATATATTTTTCATTGGTAAGATTAATATAAATGATAAACCCAGAGGTAAGATAAATCGAAACAAGTTGGGCAATAAGAGATAGTCAATATTAAAATTAAAAAAGGAGATGTAAAATAGTAAGATGTTTCAATAGTAAGAGGGTACCTATAATAACTGATGACAAATATTAAACAAAAAAAAACCTAGAAAAATCTAATTTACCAAATGTGACACCCTGAATTAATTAAAAAAGAAAAATCTGAGTAGCCCTTAACCACTAAAGAGATTAAACCAGTAGCCTAACATCTGCCACCAACAAAACTGTAGGGTCAATTAAATTCAATGACAAATGCTTTATGGCAGCAGTGATAAGGAGCAGTCCAATGATGGAAATATGGTGAGGAACAGAATATATTCTTGGTGATTATGCTAATTAATGTGAAAACACACACACACACACAGACACACACACACAGAGACACACATTTCATTATTTGGAAGACCTGTACAATTTAGGGAACCAGTATTTTCCCAAAAGACTAATGCAAGAATGAAAGCCCTTCAAAGTACAAACTAGATAAACATATTTTAATAAGTTCATTCATAGTTTCAAATTTACACTGTAGGCAACTTTTAAGAAACTATATTATCAAAATTGATGAATACGAAAGAAAACACATCTGAAAATATCACTTAAATGTCTCTCCATTTCCAAACACTCAGCTAGCCAATGTCAGTGCAGAAGTAATACTTGAGCAATTAAAGGTCACATGAAAACTATTTGCAAAACCATAGTACAATGCCACTCTTATCACTATTTTTTTGGAAGGGAAATAGCTATTTTTCATTAAAAATGTTACCTAAGTCAAGATGTAATCAGTTTAGTTTTTAAAGATACCAATGAATATGTTTGAAAGTAATCAGTTTAACATCTAACATAGTATCTTTCAACAGATATAACTGGAGTGTGCAATAGTTTTAGAACTGTAAAGGAGTTGGCTCAGGATGTAGAAGAGTGCTTGCTTGTCTAGAATACAAAAAACCCTGCCTCAATCCCTAGAACTGCATAAATTTAGTGTGGCAGTATGTCTGTAATCCTAGCATTTAAGAGAAGGCAGCAAAAAGATCAAGAGTTCAAGTCCAGTCTTTGCTACATAAGTTCAAGGCCAGCCTGGGCTACAGTTTAAAAAAAAATGTGTAAAAGACCATGGACACATGCTGTAACATAAATCTTGGCATATAAAACAAAATATGAATATAAAATATGATTCTCTTCAAGTTCAAAACAGGTGAATATTTGTGGGTTAATGAAATGAAGACCCTGGTGACAGTTCAACAATACTTTCCTTCTAGAATAGGCAAAACACAAACTATTTCTAAGGTATCTGTAGTGCTCTACTAAGCAAAGTGCAGAGATAGTCTTCCTTTTTTTGGTAAATACATTTTCACACACACTAAAAAATCTATTCTCTTAGAAGGGGGGAAAACAATATCTTTTCTTAAACGGATTTATAAATGCAATGAATAAGCTATTCAATGCAAACACAAGTATTCCAATGAGATTTTTCTATAGAAATTGAGATGATTCATCTGGAAGAAAAAAAAAAAAGAATCCACAGCATTACCTGGTTCCCCAAAAGAAGTATCAATGTATGTTATAAAGCTACCATAACTAAAACAGTATGGTAACTGCTGCTAAATAGGTCAAAGAGGAGTGTCAGATCCAAGGTCATAAACAAGGTATAATTGTCCCAAATGTTTGACTTTCTTACTCACTAGGCAAGATTAAAAATTAAAATAAGACTTTTTTTTTCAACTATTTGATGGGTAAAGATGTTTAGAAAATATTGTTACCATCCAGTGCTGCCTAGCAGTAATGAAAACCATACCTAAGGGGAAATGAAAATTTAAAAATACAATCACCCGAGAGCATTTAACATACTGCCAGCATTCTCATAAGAATTTGATTCCACAGAAACATTATCAGCAGCACCTAAAACACGTTTATAATAGCTGCAGGGGGGAAAAAAATCACAGCTTACAGTATTGTTATAAGGAAATGCTAAAACAGGGCTGGAGTGATGGCTCAGAGGTTAAGAGCACTAGCTGCTCTTCAAGAGGTCCTGAGTTCAATTCCCAGCAACCACATGGTGGCTCACAACCATCTGTAATGAGATCAGGCGCCCTCTTCTGGCATGCAGATGTTCATTCAGGCAAAACACTGTATAGATAATACATAAAAATCTTTAAAAAAGACAATGTTAAAATGTCCACTGATGAGACACAAAGGATAAACATGTCTAATATGTTTGTACTAAATAGATATACTATGGGTAACAATTTCAGGCAAGTTTCCTGGCAGTTTTCAAATTTCAATTTATTTAAACAAATGTTTGGGCTAGAAGAGATGCCTGTCATTTATCTTTCTTTATTTAAGAATGTAATGGTTAGGAAACGTATTAGCAACACATTTCAAACATCCTCTTCCTTAAAATAATTACAGACAAATAGTTATCTTCTTTTTTTAACTTGGGCTCACTAGGTATTGATTGATATACTGGTGACAATGGAGCTCTCCTTTACTACAAGACAATTTTCCAATAGAAAAGCATTCTCTTACACTATCAGGTATATGTGCTTTGTACTAAACCTGTTAGGATTAGATTTCCAACAATCTCAGATTCTATGCTATTACACATCCGTTTTCTTTTTGCTTTCTTAGGGGGAACACTGTGAGTCCTCAGGTCATTTGTATTATACAAGTTTAGGGAAGATTTTCAATAACTTTCCTATTCTAATTTTACCTTCAGAGAGAATACGCGTTAGAGTTGCTTAAAGTTTGGCATTTCAAACTGCTAAATCGCGATTAAGAGAAACTCGAAAACTTCCAATCTCGGATTTTGAAGTTAAGCCCCGTTTTCCTACCAAGTGCTGGCTGGTACTGTCTTCCCACCAACTTCGGGACCAACCTACTGCACTATTCCTTCAACGTTACTCCAGCCGGCTGCTGACTTCCATATGGGGAGGCCCATTTATACGTAACAAATAAATAAACAAGTAATGCCACGTGTTGCCTTGGATTCCACAGAATTCACACACTTGAGTTGAGCGGTTTCCCTAAGAAACCTCCGGGAACGAGCTAGTCCGACCCGAATACAGGGAACACTTCAGGGCAGAATTCACCACATCCCTCGGGAATGGAGCTGACCTGTGACAGGCGACACACACAAAACGCTCCGGCGTCCTTCTGCCCCCCAAGTGCAGACACCACTCCCGAAGCCCTCCACGGGCTCGCACCAGGACTGCCTTCTCCGAGTTGGAGCAGAATCAGCGTGGCTGCCTGTCCTGGGCGACCGAGGGAATCTGCCCAGTGGCCCCCCGAGCGACGCCCCCACCCCGCCCACCCCGCCGGGCCGCCCTCCGTCACCGCGGAGCTCACCCCTGCCCAAGGCTGTCTGGGGAGGTCCTCGCCCGAGACGCCCCCGCACCCGAGGGAGCGTTACCTGTCCCCGGCGCGGCCGCCTTCCCTGACGAGTTGAGCTCGCCGCTCGGTGTCCTTCCCATGCTTGGCCGGCCCGTCCCTTTCTCCTCCTGGCCCCTCGTCCTGCGGCGTCTCCCGACCTCTCCTCACAAACCCGGGCCTCCCGGCTGCGCGCGCTCCACTCCCTCAGCCTCACAGGCGGGTAGCAGCCCTCGGAACAAGCCCGGCGCTGGGAACGTGTCGACTCTTCGGCACCCCCGGCGCCAGCAACCGGAAGTAAAACCTCGTGGCCCGAGGAAAAAGGGAGGGGGCCGGAGAGACAGAAAGTGAAAACTGAAGCTCCCGTGGGCTCCTCACAGATGGGAGCCAATCACGAGGAGGACGCCCAGGCGCAGGCGCGACCGTCAGCGGCGTCCACGTTGCGCTTGCCTTTTCTCTCTGCGCAGGCGCGAGGGCCCCAGCTCGCTCTGGATTGGACGGCCAAGCCAGTTCCGTGGTTTCTCGCGGGACATCGGCGGCCGGATATGGATGGCGTGCACAGGAAGCCAGGATCCTGAGTCAGGTCAGCCTCTAGTGTCTTGCGGGTTGCTTATGCCCGATTTCCGGTGTTTCGTGTACCAGGTGTTGTAATGTGACAGGACAAGATAGTACAATAACTCTTCCATCTTGTGTTCTTGCTGAGGCCATTTCAGCTTTAATTGGAATCTGATCTTCATGGAGAATCCTGTGGAAAATTAGCCAACCCTATTCTAGGTCCGATGCCCCAGCTAACTTAGCTTCTGTTTAACTGCTTGCTTGTCCAAACCTTACCCCTGCAGCTGCTGAGTGAAATACCAGCATGTAATTTTGCCCTTAAAAACCCCTTAGTGTAAATGTTGGAGGCTACACTTAGGTCCGAATACTTGAGTATAGTCTCAGCCGGCTGGAGTAAAGACTGTCAACTGGCCATCAACTGAGCGATCATCTCTGGTGACTCTGGTTGGGTTGGTCTGGCCCAAGTGCGACATTTCAGAAACCTCACTGCTGTTTGAATTTACTGAATATTAAATCCATACAAAACTTAAGTTCATTGTGTGAATTCCCCAGACCAACTTGAAGTTTATTATCTATGTGGAAAGTGTTGAGGTGACTAGAAGTAACAATTCTGGTCTCTCCTCACTAGAGATAAATATCCCTGAAAGAAATTAAGCAGTACCAAGCCATAGACCATGTGCCATGGTTTGAATATTTGTTACAATGAGACTTAGATATTCAATAGGATAGTATACTTGTGCTAAGTGCTATATTATGAGATTAGGGCCATGAACAAGGAAAAGAAGGACTCTATTCATAATTGAGTTCATTTTAGAGGTGAATTAAATTATAAGGTACCACAATTATTCCAGGTAATAATGTGCTGTGAAAACCTAGTAAATGGAGTTGGAAGTTGGAGACTGGAACAGAAGAAGCAGGACGATTAAGATGCACCTAAAAGGGGATGCTTGAAGTTAAAACTCAAAGATGAAAGTGACCAAATGAATCCTTTGAGGTAGAGTTTTATGAGCAGAAAGGAAAACAAGTGTAACCTCCCCCCCAAAGGTGAAAATAAGTGTTCAAGAATCCAAGAAGGATTCCTGAAAAGTGAAAAAACAGAAGATATTCACAGTGCCTAAGAGCTGAGAGAACAGTCAGGCAATTGCCTACCACACAAGCTTGAGGATCTGAATTCTGTCTCCAGAACTCATGTAAGGGGAAGAGGAGGCCCAGTTTATAATTCCAGCACCGAGAAAGGGGAAGCAGATAAGCCCTGCCTAGTCTCTTTGTGAATCCAAGACCAATGAGATTCTGTCTTAAAAGATAATATGGACAGATGCTGAGGAACAACACCTGAAGTTGACTTGTGATCCCCACACATATTGCACACATGCACCATACACAAAATGCACCTGCACACATCTACATACAGACAGAATAAAAGTACATAAAACCTAGACAAAGGATGTAGTTCAGTTGTTTATCCAGTATTCAGGAAGCTCTAGGTTTGATCCCCAGAAATGCATAAATTGGGTATGATAGTGCAGGCATATAATCTCTGAAGGTGGAGGTAAGAAGATTAGGAATTCAAAGTCATCCTTAGCTACATAGCAAATTTAAGCCCAGGCCGAACCACAAGAGTACCTGTCAAAAACTGCACAGACTACACCTTAATGGTTTGTCTTAAACCAGTCAGGGCAAGAAATAGCCCACTGCCAGGTTTCTGGTTCATCAGATATATGATGGGATCTGATGAGATCTGTGTTTTGGAAATACTCTAATGACCACATAACACACTGGGTTTGATGTTGTTGATTTTTTATTCTTTGGTCTCTTTGGGGGGCCTGCCACCCAGCTCCCAAATAAATCACACAGAGACTTATTCTTTCTTATGAATTCCCGGCCTTAGCATGGCTTGTTTCTTGCCAGCTTTTCTTAAATTATCCCATCTACCTTTTGCCTCTGGGCTTTTTCCTTTTCTTAATTCTGTATATCTTACTTCCACTCCTTACTCTGTGGCTGGCCCCTGGAGTCTTCCACCTTCTCTTGTTTCTAGATCTTTCTCTCCTCCCAGATATTTCCTCCTCTTTATTTTCTCTGCCTGTCAGCTCTGCCTATCCTTTCTCCTGCCTTGCTATTGGCCATTCAGCTCTTTATTAGAGTAATCAGGTGTTTTAGGCAGACAAAGTAACACAGCTTCACAGAGTTAAACAAATGCAACATAAAAGAATGCAGCACATCTTTGCATCATTAAACAAATGTTCCACAGCATAAACAAATGTAATAAACCTTAAAATAATATTCCACAACAGTTTGGAGGCGTGGGAGTGAGGCAGAGGAAGAAACTAGAATAGGCTTGGTTTTTGGATTATAGTTTCCATTTCTTTCCTGTCCCCCATGGTACCTTGTACAAAATTTTACTCAAAACAGTCTTAATATGTAAATACTGACTTACTGAGTATGTTTCATTGCAGTAGAAAGAGGAAAGAACCAGTGGAAGAAAACAAAGAACAGTGCATTCAAAGAACCAGAGCATACTGAGTTCATTCCACTGCTTTGGAGGGAAGGCCCTGTAAAATTGGTCCAATAATGATTTATGTTACTTGAAATCTTCTTGTTCCAAGTATGCTCTTAAGTTAGATGCTAATTTTACTTTCTCATTTGAATAATAGCAATCTCAGATGTGAATATGTGCAAAGAACAAGAAATATATATGCATAAACACAGACACATGTCATAATACTCTGTCTTAATCACTGTTCTATTGCTGTGAAGAGACACCATGACTAAGGCAACTCTTATAAGAGAAAGCATTTAATTGGGGGCATGCTTATAGAGATTTAGTTCATTGTCATCATGACAAGGAGCATGGTGGCATGCAGGCAGTGCTGGAGCAGTAGCTGAGAGCTACATCATATCATAATCATTAGGCAGAGAGGGGGCTTGTTGAAACCTCAAAACCCTTCCCTAATGACACACTTCCTCCAATAAGGCCACAACTCCTATTCCCTTTAATTCTTTCAAATAGTGCCACTCCCTAGTGACTAAGCATTCAAATGTATGAACTTCTGGGAGCCATTCTTACTGAAAGCACATGTACCCATTATTTTGTATGATAAGTAAACAATTCATAAAAGAGGGGGAAATTAGAAAGAGAATGGCTTCTTAGTAAAGAAGGCTTCCTGGGGTGGAAAGTAAGTTCCTATTACTGAAGACATCATGCACTTCAGATACAGGACCCAGAGGCCCCTGAGCTGTTACTGACCTGAAAGCTAGTTGATGATTAGCTTTCATGGTACCAGAAGGCACCATATAAGCTTCCAAAAGAGGGAATTAACCAACAGTCCTAACCGGCTATGACACCTATGAACCACAACAATGACCAACAAGGCATGATAACCCTTAGGGTACAATAATGGTACACATATGTAGTGACCAACATCTCTCTAATTGGATTTAAGACCTGCTCAGTAAGAAAGCAATCATGCCTGGTACTGGGAACCTAGCCAATTACTTGGGGTTGGTGATATCATGAATCTTGGAGAACTATAACTACTTTACCAGCCTAATCCCTAACTATATTCTGAATATTTCTCCTCCTCCTCCTCCTCCTCCTCCTCCTCCTCCTTCTTCTTCTTTTTCTGTTTTGAGACAGGGTTTCTCTGTGTAGCTTTGGAGCCTGTCCTCTACCTCACTCTGTAGACCAGGCTGGCCTCAGACTCACAGAGATCTGCCTGGCTCTGCCTCCCAAGTGCTGGGATTAAAGGCATAAGCCACCACAGCCCAGCTCTAAATATTTATTCTTATACCCACAGATAATTGTAGTCTCACATCAGGGAAACATCTCTTTGCAACTGGTGGAGACCATTACAGAAAACCACAACCAATCAAGATGCAGAATAATGAGGCCCAGTCTCAATGGATACATCTACAGTACAATTCCATCACCTAAGACTCAGGAAACATTGTGGAAGAGTGGGTGGAAAGATTGTAGAGCTAACATGAAAAGGAGAAATCCCAGGAGGTCTCAGCCCTACGGAAAGAACTACAGGCAGCTAAATAAGACTGAAATCTGAAGAAATTGTTTTCCCCTGGAAAGAGCACACTAAATTGGTTATTCAATACTAAAAATGGTCACCCCTGAAAACATAAGAGTGACGTTATAAAAACTGGGCAGGTTGTACTTATGTATTTAAGTGTGTGTGTGTGTGTGTGTGTGTGTGTGTGTGTGTGTGTGTTTATATACACATTCAACAACAATTAAAAAAGGCAATGAATTTGAAAAAGAGCAAGAAATATAGGGGAGGGTTTGGAAGCAGGAAAGGGAAGGATTTTATCTAAATTTTGTTTTATCTAAAATTACCTAATCATATTACTCTCCAAAATAAAAAATTTTAAAAAGTTTTTAAAAAGAAGGCCTCCTGAGGGTCTGGAGGACCAAGGTTCTATTTCAAGCATCTACATGGTAAATCACAACCTTCTATAAATCCAATTGTAAGGGATCTGATGACTCTTCTGGCCTCCAAAGGCACCAGGCACACAAGTGATGCATAGCCATATGTGCAGGCAAAAATACATAAAATTAAAAAAAGTTAAGGCCTCCTATTATGACACATGACATAATCCCAAGAAGTGTCTACAACAAAATAAAGCATAACCACACAAAATGAGTTCAGTGCAAAAATATGGCCGGTACGTGATTATCACATTACTGGACAGTAACAAGAGATAGATAAGGTAGACAGGTAGCCTCAAACTACAGTGTAAAAGTCAGTCTTTCCAGCTTGGGAACAGGTTGCTCATTTCTCTTACAAAGAAAAAACAGTCTAGTATTGACTTAGTCATGTGGTTGTTAGTAGTCACTCTTATGCAGATCTATAATGAAAAAGAGCAATCTAGACAAAGAAAAGTGAATATGTGCAGTTCGAGGAGAAAAGGAGCACCAGGAAGTGTTTTGTTGGAGCCAAGTCCTGCGATCAAAAAGACAAAAAGTTTAAAGAAAAGCCTGATTCTAGCTGGGCGGTGGTGGTGCATTCCTTTAATCCCAGC